TTATAAAGGGCTAAGGGAATTACATGGAATGGGGAACTGGGTTCTGGTAGGAGTTGAACCCATGAGTTGTAAATACTTGGGCTTAGGTTGGTGCACCGTTGGGCCAATCAAGGCCTTTAACCTTAATGGGTTTTCAATACTTGTGCTTGAATTTTGTGAAGAGGTCAAAGTCAAACTAGCACCTATCCATCAATCAAATTCGTTACAAAAGATTTTCACCCAAAAAAAAAAAAAAAAAGCGTTACAAAAGAAAACATGGAACCCTACCAGAGAATTTTTTTTCTTTCTTTAGGAATTTGAGTAATTTTGCATTCTCCACACCGTGGAACAAAATCTGCTTAGCTTATCTTCGGAAAAGGAAGATCTCTTCCAAACAATCTATACAAAATTTCAACGAAATCTCAACATATGTTTTTTTTTTTTTTATTAGTGTGTGGGTTTGATTGTAGTTGTTAATAATGAATTGGAAAATCACGAGATATTCAATTAGAACCTTACTTAAATTTAATGAAAACTCGAATAAAATAACTTGCATTCATTTACACTTCATAATTTCAAAAAACAAATCATGTTCTATCCAAATTGCCCACTAAACTCACTTTAGTGGCCGCAACACCACCTCTTGAGTTCAAGCATGAGCAGTCACAATTCCACCTAGGAGTGGATGAAATTGACAGCGACCAAGAGATTATTTGAACCTGACAAAAATTATAATTCGTTGATTGGATTTGATTAGTTTTGGGGTTTTTTTTATTGGAATCTAAACTAAATTAATATTAATTGATTTGATTTTTAATTGTAGGTTTAAAAATTGAAAAACCAGTGATTAAGATAAATATAACTTAAAATACTAATCCAAAAACTTATTACGTAAAATTTTTTTAATGGTTTTTAAACTTTTTAATAATTTTTTCGTCACTTTTTATCAAAATTTATCTTTATAAAGGTAATTTTTATTTTTTAATAATTAAAATTAATAAAATAATCATTTAAAAATTAAAAAATTATTAAAAAAAAT